AGAGAGAGAGAGAGAGAGAGAGAGAGAGAGACTGGAAGAGGGGCAGAGAGAGAGGGAGACACAGAATCCAAAGCAGGCTCCAGGCTCCGAGCTGTCAGCACAGAGCCCGCCGCAGAATTCGAACTCAGGAACCGTGAGATCATGACCTGAGCCGAAGTCGGATGCTTAACCGGCTGAGCGCCCCTCTCCTGAGCAACTTCTGAAGGCTTGTGAAATCGTGTATTTTCCTCATCCATTTCTGTGATCGCTCTCGTCCCTCACTGTGGTTTCCTGGAGCCACGTGTGTGCTGGCAGATGAAAATATTTTTAGTTGTTGGATAACGCACATAACATTTACTATCTCTTAGCCTGTTGGCGTGTACCGTTCAGTGGTGTTGAGTACACGCACATTGCTGTGCAAACACCATCCGTCTCCAGGGCTCTTTTCATCTTGCAGCACATAAACTCTGCACCCATTAAACCCCAGCTCCCCATTGCCACACCCCCTCTACCCCTGCTAACCACCCTCCTACTTTCTATCTCTGGGTCTGACCGGTCTGCATATCTTTCATATGAAACCATCCAGGTCTTGTCTTTTTCGTGACGGGCTTATTCACCGTCTCCGTCCTTTCAAGCTTCTGGAAGGACTGCCACAGACTGGGTGGCTGATGAACAACACAAGTTTATTGCTGGGACGTCCAAGATCAAGGCTCGGGCCGGTGTCCGGTGAGGGCCAGCTTCCTGTGTCATACACGGCCGTCTTCTCCCCGTATCCTCACGTAGTGGAAGAGAAGTGGGATCTCTCTGGAGTCTGTTTTATGAGGGCTCCAGTCTCGTGACCTCATTGCCCCCAAAACCCCACTTCCTAATTCCATCAACATAGTCAACCCTGGTGTCCCCGTGTCCTAACACTTATCACTTTGGGGATTAGACTTCATATGAATGGTGGGGGGTGGGGAGGATGCAGACATTTGGTTGGTATCGTTTGCTCAGAATAACATCAGGATTCATCCATGTTCCCACACCCGTCACATGTCAGGATTTCCTTCCTTCCATCGCGTGTTGTACATGTCGCATTTAGTCCATTCATTCGTCTGTCAGTGGCCATTTTCTCCAGTTGCACTTCTTAGCTCTTATAAACCATGCTGCTATGAATATGTGTATAAAAATAATCTCTTTAAGACTCTCCTTTCAATGCTTTGGGGTATACACCCAGCGGTGGAGTTGCCGGATTGTCTCATATATTTTTTTTTTTAATTTTTTTTTTTTAACATTTATTTATTTTTGAGACAGAGAGAGACACAGCATGAACGGGGGAGGGGCAGAGAGAGAGGGAGACACAGAATCGGAAGCAGGCTCCAGGCTCTGAGCCGTCAGCCCAGAGCCCGACGCGGGGCTCGAACTCGCGGACCGCGAGATCGTGACCTGAGCTGAAGTCGGACGCTTAACCGACTGAGCCACCCAGGCGTCCCTGTCTCATATATTTTTAAGCAGCTGGATAATTAGCCTTCAGCCAGAAAATCTGAACTTCCTGGGATCTCACTCTTCTCAGTTCATCTCAGCACCCACCTGCACATCCCTATCCTGGACGCTGTGGCTTCGGCTCCGGCTATTGATCTGTCCTGGTTGGTAGCCCAGGGTTGTCAGAGTGCTCAGCCTTTATGCTGGATGCTTCTCCCATTCCTTCAGTCCCTCGCTCCCTCTGTCGATCCCTCAGGCATCACAAGCAGTAACATCTCTGTCCAGTTCAGATGCGCAAACTCACAACATAAGTGAAGAGAGGGCATAGCAGCACTGTCTCCATGGCCAGAGTTATGTCCTACAAGGGCACGACGTTCACCTTCCTGCCAAGTCTCCTGCTAGTAAGAAGGAAGGCTTTTTCTGTGCCAGGCATCTGGGCCCCTTGTGCATGTAACTGCTTTAGTCTCGACATCCCTGTTGGATAGGAATTGGTGATAGCCCCCCATTTTATACATACGGAATCTAAAGTACAAGGAAATTAAATAAGTACCCAGTGTCCCCTGTCCCGAAAGAGGCAGAGCTGGGAGAGTATCAAGAATGATGGAGGGGGCGCCTGGGTGGCGCAGTTGGTTAAGCGTCCGACTTCAGCCAGGTCACGATCTCACGGTCCGTGAGTTCGAGCCCCGCGTCAGGCTCTGGGCTGATGGCTCGGAGCCTGGAGCCTGTTTCCGATTCTGTGTCTCCCTCTCTCTCTGCCCCTCCCCCGTTCATGCTCTGTCTCTGTCTGTCCCATAAATAAATAAAAACGTTGAAAAAAAATTAAAAAAAAAAAAAAAGAATGATGGAGGTAACCATCCTGCTCTGTCCTTCAGAACGCAGTACTGTGTTCAAAAGTAGGGGTGAGGGGCACCTGGGTGGCTCAGTCGGTTAGGCATCCGACTTCGGCTCAGGTCATGATCTCACAGTTTGTGGGTTCGAGCCCCGCATCGGGCTCTGTGCTGACAGCTCGGAGCCTGGAGCCTGCTTCGGATTCTGTGTCTCCTTCTCTCTCTTCCCCTCCCCAGCTTGTGCTCTGTCCCTCTCTACCAAAAATAAATAAATGTAAAAAATAAAAAGTAGAGGTGAGGGTGGGGAACTACTCCTTAAAGGAGTGGCCCGCCTGCAGAAGAAGAATGACAGTGACAGACACAGGATCCGTGGACGTTGTGGCCACTCCGTAAGTGTACCCGAACAGAAGGATTTCAGGAATGAATTGGGAAGGTTAGCCCACGGAAGGTTTGTCAGTTCGAAGGCCATGCTGTGAGTGAGAGGCAAGCCTGTTCTGGGTTACAGAGGTGGCGGGGATCAGTAGAGGGAGGACACCCCCGTTCCCCATGAAGAAAACGGGTGGAACTGCAAGACGTGAGTTCTCTCCCCCTGGAGATGCGAAGCGAAGCTAGACGCGGCCGTGCCGTGGGCCCGCTGAGGGAGTTCAAGCCAACTCAGTGGGGGCCGGCCCATGTGCCCTGTGCTCCTTCCTGTGCCCCGCTGCCCGGGTGAGCCCGCCGGGTTGTCTGTCACACGTTGCACGGCCCTGGGCCCTCTTACGCAAACCACTGTCAGGGTCCCCGCTCTCCTTGGCCTGCTCTAGGAGCCTCAGACCGTTGCCATCTGATCTGGAACGTCCCCGCTCTGAGCGCCAAAGGCAGTTTTTGAAAGAACGATTTCACCAAGTAGGACTGTGTTCAAGGAAACCATCCCAAGTGAAAAGAAGGTGGGCAAAGAGAAGAAATGTTTCTGCGTTCCAGTCTCGCATTCACGCACTAACCCAAAGACGAACCCCTTTCCTTTCCGATATTTTCTTTTTCTTTTTTTTCCTGAATCCCATTCTTCAAGGAGATAATGCTGTTAAAATGTCTGCCTCCCTGTAAATAGGGGGAAAATTTATAATAACATGGACTAAAGTCCTGCGTTTGATAGGATTCTTGCCTCCTTTGCCAACATACTCTTCTCCCTTTTCTTAGAACCCAGAAATTAGATTTGGATTGCATAATGATTTATTAGATAGCCAGCATCTCTGCGGATTGCTGTATAATGTCAAGAGTGATTGCTGCTTCTGGCTCACTCCTGCCTCCCTAATAGCTAGCTGCGTTCCCCTCACTGGCAAGATGATTCTAGATAATCGAAGACCATTTACAGTCTTGTCTAGAAATCGGAATTCCGTGGTTCAGTCGTTAACACAGCTCAAACTTTTCTCACCTCGTCCTCAGTTCTCATATATCATGCTGGTGAACCTACACAGACTAAGTAATGGTTCTCTTAAAACTCTTCATTCTCGGTGGGGCGCCTGGGTGGCGCAGTCGGTTAAGCGTCCGAC